ACGAACAAAGGACCTTGAGGACTTCTGTAGGTTCCTTCCCTTTCTTCCTTCCTTTGGTTCGCTCTGTATGCCCTGATAGTAAGCGCTTGAAGCTAGTACATCAGTCTAATCGATCACCTTCTCCGATTCGTCATTGTAGACGACTAGTCGGAACTCCCGAACCTATAACAAAACTCATGATTTTTTCTCCCTTTTCTTGCTCGATTTGGACGATCAAAAGCTAAAGATTTGGAGACCTTGATTGTGTATTATGTGTATTGGTAGAAGTTTAGAACTTGGTGTATTTATAGGTTACAACATGGACCCTAAGGAAGTGCTATATATGAGTTTCCTAGTATGAGCCTAACTGTGGGCCAAACTTACTTCGCTCATACTTGAATAATATTTAATTCTACAAGAGAAATATTATTGCACTCCCCGTTTAGCTCTGAATTACGATCAATTTGTCTCTCGGCTAATTGCTCGAATTATCTCCACATGTTAAAGATCTAACGTTCTCTGATTAATTTAATTACTGACAATATAATTAATCAAATTCTATATCCAAAATTAGCATCACTCAATTCTTTATTATTATGTCCGAAATATATCCGTCTGTCGGGCTCAACATAATAATACTTTATGAGTTTATTTCAGTAACGTCATCAACCCTCCAAGTCGTTAGTGTCACCATCGTCTATGACTTCCTCCTAGACTGAGTCATCAACCGAAGCACCAGTCCGACCCTCAAAGTCGATCAACGATGCGTTGCGCTTGGTAAAAACCTCGTAACACTCACGATATTAAGGGAATTCGTACCAACTGAAAATGTTTGAGCGTCTATCTTCTCATGTATATTTAATTTGAAATTTTTTAGGGTTATGACTGCGTCTCAAAATGCTTGAACAAACTAAAATAAAAAACTTTTACCTCGCCCACATGTATCCAGTGCATGTGGTTAACACTAACAAGGTTAGCATCACCACTCACTCGGACCCTTGGAATCAATTGGAAACTTTAAAATTCATCGAATTAGTTTTTGAGTCGTTGAATATTTCCCTGGACTTGGGCAGTAGAATACTCCTTCAAGGCATAACGCAACGTGCGGTTTAGAGAACGTGCAATTTTTTGCCACAATGGCTAGATGTATGTCTGCCTTCTCAACGCATTACTTGAAAAACAGTCGGTAGCAAGCATCTTCCTCACCCAATCACCCTCAGTCCACTCCATGCCACAGAAGCGTATCGCGATCTGCTTATTGAGTGAAATTCTATCCACATTTTTTTTGCAAACGTGCCTTTTTTTGCTGCGATCGGAATATATTGATTTTACACTTGCATGTGTTTTTTTTTTTTTTTTTTTTTTTTTTTTTAGCTTCGAGAAGTGAAAGATTGACAATTAAATCTTATAATTCATTAGTAATAATGGTAGTATATATACATGGACAACTAGTGTAGGTAAATGTCTTTTGTCTAAGTTTTTTACGTGAAAAATCAGACAATAATGCGGTGCGTAAACTATGCGAAATATTTTCTTTGGATATGAAATTCATGATATGGATTAGCAAAAACATGGTGGATAGTACTAAATAATGCGGCTGTCAATTTGGATGTGTGATTCATAAATATGCGAACATATTATACATAATCGTACGACGTTATAGATTTGAATATGCGAGTCGTAAACTGTGCGAACATTTGTCGCATATTCATAAATATGCGGCGTTCGATTTGGATAATCACATATGGTAAATTATGCATTGAATTTGGATATGCGAGTCGTAAACTATGCAAAAATATGTTGCATAACATAAAATATGCGACGTTGGATTTTGATATTTGATTCTTCAATATAAGAAAAGTTACCGCAAATTATAAATTATGCAGTGGATTTGGATATGCAAGTCGTAAACTATGCGAAAATATGTTGCATAATCATAAAATATGCAACATTCGATTTGGATATGCAATAAAAGAATATGCGAAATGAGCTCGCATATGGTAAATTGTGTGGTGGATTTGGATATGCGATTTGTAAACTATGCGAAAATATGTCACATAACATAAAATATGCGACATTCGGATATGCGATAACAGAATATGCAAAAAGTTCTTGCATAAGGTAAGTTATGCAGTTGATTTAGATATGCGAGTCGTAAATTATGCGACAATATATCGCATAATCATACGTGACCTTCGATATGGATACACGATTACATAATATGCATAACTATTTCACATAATTGATGATTATGCGTCCGATTTGAATACGGGGGACGTAAAATATACAGAAACTTGTCGCATGATCGCAAAATATGAAGTTATTAATTTAGATATGCGATAACTATATATGCAAAATTAATTTGCATAACAAAAATTTATGCAGTGAATTTGGAAATGTGATTAACAAAATATGCGACTGTGTTTTGTATAATTATTAACTATGCGTCTAATTTGGATATACGTTATTTTATATACAACTCCCGCATAATTGATGAGGTTCATTTGGATATTTTTAGGTCCTATATAGTTTCGTGAATTGTGAGGTGCAAAAGAACTTTTTTGATGGGACATTCAGTAAATAAAAAGAAAGTGCATGTTTAAATTAGGGTGTAAACAAATTGTTCCTATATAAACTTAAAAATTTATATTTTTTTATTTACTTTTTTTTTTTCAATTTTCTGGTAGTAAACTGTCGGGCAGACTTTGCCTTGAACCGGCCCGAGGCTTTTGAGAATGCAAATGATTTTGGAGAGTTATAATTCAGTCAAATGGGATGAATTTATTTTTATATCTCATTTTTTTTTATCTCGAGTATTATAATTTCCTGGTCCTAAACCGCCGGGCAGACTCTGCCTTGAACCGGCCCGGTGCTAATCTCGGGCGATTTAATAAAAAATTGAACCGTGATCGGCTTTTGAGAAGGAGTAATGCAAATGGTTTTGGAGAATTATAATTCAGTCAAAAAATTTTAGGAGGTGATTGAATATGAATTCAACTAGTAAAAAACTATTTTTTCTTAACTATAGTTAAGTTTGAAAAAAAATTTGTATAGTTAGTTGTTAGTGGATATATTAAAATAATATTTAAATTAAAATAATTAAAGTTGATTTGATGTAAAAGTAGGAGAAAATGATTGGAAGTGATGGTTAGTTAAAATTATGTGAGTGAATGAATATTGAATTAAAGTTGATGTGATGTGTAATAATGGTTGATTGATATTATTTAATTAAATTAATAATATTGAAGATAATTGAGTTAAAATTAAATTAGATTTGAGTTTTGAGTGAAATATTTACGGTACAATATGTTTGGATGCTGAAACAAGACGTATTAAAAAAATAAGTATATCGTAAAATTGAAGGATTAAATGGGTCCCATATAATTAATCTACCATTCCCCACTTAACCCTAACCCCACAAAAACTAATTAAATTTAGTTTCTCTCTCATCATCACTGCTTGTCGTCTCACTCTCTCTCTCTCTCATGACTACTTTTTCGAGACTTTTTTTGTTCACAGGCATTCCCTGAAAAAGAAAGTAAAAGCTAGGGTTCCAACATTTTTCCTCTTTATCAACCAAAGATTCTGAACAAAATTCATTTTCATTTTACTCTGATTTTACTCTCCATTCTTCTCTAAATTCGCCTTCCTTGTATGAAATTCTCCTTTATGTGACTTGTGCAATTTGTGGAGTTTTTCGCTCCTTTTTTTTTTCCCCATTTTTGTGGGGATTTTGCTTGGGAATCCCCTTTTTTGGGGGGGATTGTTGAGGTCAAAAGTGAAAATGGCTGTGAGTTCATTTATGTTACTTGCTTTTAGGGAGACGTACATGTGAAGCAATTTGTACTGTTTTTGTTTCTGTTCTTGCTGATTTCCCAACTGTAAGTTCGTGAATCCTGGCTTCAACTGCGTGGAGAAGGAATATTCTGGATCTCTTTTGCTCTCGTCTTATGCGACTCGCATGCTCGGACCCATTGTTTGGCATTAAGAGGTAGGGTCTTGTAGCGGGAGCCCATTAGTAGCTCGGTTTGTTTTAGAAACATGGAAGAGAATCACCCGAGCTCAGTTTTTAGTGATTCGGCCGTTTCTGATAAATTTACATTTTTTTAGCCGGTTATTTTTCATGAGGTGTTGGGCAATGGAGGATATTGGGCTGTTCAATCAAGGGTTGAAATGGATGCAATCGAAGGACTATTATTCTGTGGCATGGACTGTTTTGAGCTGTTTAAGAGATAAGATCGGGATTTTCATGGAACGGCATTGGCCGATGGTTTGTTGTGGGTGTGCAAAATTTGGGAGGGTTTTGCTCTTTCTGTTGGTTTATTGGAAAAATTGTTCGGTGTCTGGATTCCAGTCATTTGTAGGGCTGGGATCAGCTGCTCTGCTTGTCATTATGTGGAGTTGCTTCCTAAGCTTGACGTCAATGTCCTGTCTTCTCTATGTGCTGATTAGTATGGTATGCCTCAGAGTCTTGCTAAGTTATCTTGTTTCAGTTATTGATCTATTATTTATATTTCTGTTATTTATTGATTTCATAGCTTCTTTAGAGCCCCAATACCCCGTTTTTATTTTTCAAAGTGCTTGGGTATGATGTTTCAAATTTTCATGCTGTGGATCCGATTATCAGTGATGAGGATTTTTTTTCAGTGTTGTGGACATTGTTGCACTAGACATCATAGGGAATTATACCCCTCAAAAGACAGTTTGAATTTCAAATTACCTTAGTGTAGCTTCATGTGCTTAACATGTAAATCAATATAACAATGGAAAGCAAGTTGCTTGGGGTAGTTTAACTTTTGGTCATTAGGTTCCTTAAACCAATGACTGTCACTAGGTGATATGGAAGGCACCCTTACCAAAGAGTAAAAAGCATGATCTTTAGGTCCATTCTTTATTTTCATTTCAACAGAAGTTATAAAATGATTTAATGCTTGTAGTTAGTCGTTGGCATATAAGAGCATGAGATTGCAACATTGTGCTTGAGGCATGTCAGTATGTTTGCCCAGTTCCTAGCATCCACACTTGAGGAAATCTGCATAAATTCAATAAGTTCCTTACAGTTCTACTTGAATGACAAAGAAATAAATAGCTTCCCTGACTTCAGGATGGAAGTTAAACAATGTGTTCCAGATGTGAGATATTGGACAGTGGACTTGTTATATGTATGTACCTGCAGATACTCTTAGGCCTACCTGAGTTGGAACTGAGACATTGTAACTTACTTTAAATAACTTAGTGTGTCTCAGTTGTGGAATGCTTCGCTTATGTTTGGTTAAGTCTTATTCTTGTACTATTTGAATGGCACATTTCGACTCTGCAATCTTGACCTAATGCATTCTATTTTCTTTCATGAGGAAATTTATGTGACATCTTCTCTGTTTCTTCATTATATGCACATGTTTCTAATTGTAACTGCTTAACTGGATTTTATGTCCTGCAATTTTGGATGTCACGTACTCTCATCTTGATGTTTTTACTCAAATAATAATTTTCTCTTCTCAGAAATATCCATTTTATGTTAATTATCTGCATATGTTTTCCACTACCTATTGATTTTCATGTTTGCTCAAAGTGATTGGTTATATTAAAAAATGTCAGTCCCATTATCTTGATCATTTTCAAACAGACTGTAGCCATTACTTAAGTACTCTGAGGCTTTCTCCTACATATGTTTGTCCGCTCGCTTCTTTCTTTGTTCTTTATATTTCTCTCGTTTTTAGTCATTTACTCATTTGTAGTTAAACATGTTCTGATTCACGTAATGCTAAAATTTTGCCTATTGTCGAGATTATTTTGAAACAGAAATTACTCTCTGTAAAAGTTCTTGGCGGCTTCTTCCAACATTTCAACTGGTTTATTTGTTTTTAGCTCACCAGTTATGTGTTTTCAGGGTGCGGCTGGGGCTGCTGTTCAATATTTAGGCTACACTCCTGGACTTTTTATCGTGGGGCTGGTTGCCATTTTAATTTTGTGGATGTATGCTAACTTTTGGATAACGGGTACCTTGTTCATAGTTGGGGGTATGTATTTATTCTCTCGAATTATTTGGACTCAGGTTAATTGTGTCTATATGCATACCCTTTTCACTTACAACAAATCCATTTCAACCTTTATTCCTGTGCACAATGTATTCATTTAATTAACAAAACAATGTTTGAGATTCTTTTAGCTATCTTTTTCATTCTGGTTGGTACTCTCTCATTTAACTTGTTCATTCCCGATGCCTTCTTCTATTTCTTCTCTGATTATTCATGAAGTTTGGGAGTTTAACTATCATTTAATGATGACGTTTTACACTGTCTTGGGTTTCTTGGCTATCTTTTTCTAATGTCTGAGTTTTTTTCTTTTTTCTTCTTCTTCTTTTTTTTTTTTTTTTGGGTCTTTTTATAAATCCTTTTTACTGTCCTGAACATTAATTCCAATGCTTGTACTTTTGTCTTCTTGAACCTGCTGACACCAGCATTATTCTGGGAATGTAGGCTATCTATTTTCATTAAACCATGCAAGACTGCTGGTGTTCATGGCGACCCTATATGCTATTTATTGTGTCCAAGTACGTGTAGGATGGGTTGGAGTTTTTCTTGCGGTTAACCTTGCCTTCTTATCAAACGATGTATTGGACTACTTGATCAAACGGTGTGATAATCTGAGTGAAAGCAGTCACTTTGAGGAGCAAAAAGAATCTGATTCCTTTACAGAAGATGATTTCTCCACGGAATGTAAATATTCTGCCCCTACTGAAGTAGAAGGAGAAGAAGAGAAAGAAAAGATCCACTCATATAAATCAGCCAGCAAACCTGCTAGTCCTTCATCTTTTGTTGAAAGGCCAAAAGAAGCGGTTGCTAAGAAAGTGGTTAAAGAAGATGCTGATTCCATAACTGAGATGAAGAGAATTTTAAGTAGTGGAAATCACTATGAGGCCCTTGGGTTTCCTCAGCAGAAAAAAATTGATGTCTTGTTATTGAAGAAGGAATACCGTAGGAAGGTGTGTTGGCCCACTTTTTTTTCCCTCCTGTAGAAATTATTGTTATATTACTTGTATGCATGTTAGCCTAAATATTACAAAGAAATTTTGAAGTACCGTATATACATTCTGTGTGAGATTTCATTGATTTTATTTCGTTTTAATGAGGTGATATCCACAACTTTCATGTCTTGCTTATTGCCTTAATATATTTAAGGCACTATAAGGGCACTAGCTCATTTGTCATGTTGCGGTGCTGGTCCTAATTGCCTGCATGGCCAGTGTCTGTTTATATGATGGAGGAGCATACTGATTTCAAAATTATATGCTGGTGTAATCATCTGAGTATCACTGTTGGGGTATCACTTGATAAAACCAGTGTTGCATTTGTCCAGGCCATGCTTGTGCACCCAGACAAAAATATGGGATGTCCACAAGCAAGTGAGTCGTTTAAAAAACTTCAATGCGCATATGAGGTAAGTTGTTTTTTTTTCTTTCTTTCTCCTATGGATAAATTAAATACCTGAAATATGGCTGTTTATGCTGGTGATGTCAGGTCCTTTCTGATGCTGTGAAAAAGAGGGATTACGATGAGCAGCTTAGAAAAGAAGAATCTAAGTGCGTTTTGCAGAAATCAGCTAGCACGTCTTATCAGGTAAATTACATGACAGGTATCTCAATAATCATTTTGTTTCATTCGCTTATATTTGACCAACATGAAAGGTTGGGATTTTATGTTTTATAATCTGAAGGAAAAATTAACTCTTAGTTTGATAAACTATGGTTTGCATCTTTTATGATGATACATTTGTGCAAATTTTTTGAAATATTCTATTGTGCAACTGTTCTTTATGACTACTATAGTTACTAGCTAACTGTTATATGAGTCAAAGGAAAAGTTTCAGTTATTTGATTTCATTTTTTAACAAATGGAGGAATGTCTTTCAGGGGTTTTGTCTTTTACTTTTCTGTTTCCTTAATATTTGTTTTTTGCCTACTTGTTCTGTTAAGTGGTTATAAATAAACTCAGAAGATATATCATCTTTTGTTTAACAATACAGAGTACCACTGACTTTTGTTCTGAGGAGTCAAGGCGGATACAGTGCACAAAGTGTGGCAATTCACATGTCTGGGTTTGCACAAACAGAACCAAGGCCAAAGCTAGATGGTGCCAGGTATGATATTTAAAAAGTAGTGAATGTGTTGGTATATGCTTGCTATGCTTTTATATTCATTGTAGACCAGTGACCATGATGTCATGCTTACAGGATTGCTGTCAGTATCACCAAGCCAAAGATGGCGACGGGTGGGTAGAGTATAAAGGTTCTCTGGTGTTTGATCAGCCCCAAAAGGTAACGTATCTGAACTGTGTGCTTCATTTGTTTCCATAAAATGGTGTTGCATGCTCTTTGTATTGTTGATTAGATTATATTCTGTTTGTCTTATCCCATATTAAGATTTGCCTTAAACCAAGACTTCATTGTCTGGGTTTTCTTGCTGATGGTCTGCATGTTTACTAAAAGGGACTTTCTTTCTTTTGGATTTTGGCAAGCAAACATTTTATATCGGAACTGATTTTATTAGCCTCCTTGCAAATCTTGATTTATTAATTGTTCAATATTTTTTCGACAGGGTGTGTAGATCTCATGAAGAATTTATACCTCACATGGAGTATTTGCAAAACCAGATCTGTGCAATTTTTAAATTGTGATTTTAATTGATATAATATAATCCTTTTTACTAAGGGTGAGATTTATCCGTTCAAGGTTTTCTGATGAAAGTATCCTGACTTGGAAGATCTGTATTTGTATGAAAAATGGATAATGGTTGCATTTGATGTTCGACTTTCTATTTCTCATTCTTTTCTCCCTGTCTGATTTTCAATGAAAGCAATACTCATGTGGGCTTTTTGTGCTCTTAAGATTCATGATAGTACAACATTTTATACGTCCTTTCTTTCTGATCTAATTTACCCGCATGTTTCTGTTTTCAGTTCATACATATATTGTGGTTTTGAATTTTATTTCTGTAATTTCGCCTCTGTATAATATGTGTATGTATGTGTGTATAGTTCTGTAGGTAAGGCCCCTAACATGTCATTTCTGCCATATATAGGTGGAGATACCTCGTGCTTTTGTATGTGCTGAAAGCAAGATTTTTGACGTTTCAGAGTGGGCAATATGTCAGGTTAGTGAAGTGCTAAACTTGCATGTTTACTCACTCGTGATTCTTGTGATGATCTTTCATGCTCTTATCAGAAACTTGTTGGTGACCCAAATGATAGAGTGATTGTTAGCGTTCTTGGCATTCAGGATTCATCTATTTTTTTATTTTCCAAAGATTTCCTCGTAGCCCATCTGGTTGATAGGTTGAATGCTGTTTTAGAAAATTGTTCATGATTGTAAATTGGTGCTCTCACGGTTGTTGTGCATTAGTATCCAGAAAGCATCTTATCGATCATCTTGTATTTGTGAATGTTAGGATCATCAACTCTAGTTAACACACCTCTCTAAATGTTGTCCCAACTCCAATACAATGGTCCAAAATATTTCATTGATCATTTACATGAAATTTCAAAAACAATCAAGAATCCCTTAGAAAAAGTTAAAACACACCACAGGCGAACATACTTATTA